TCTTTCTTCCTTTTTTCATTCATTCATTCTTTTTTTTTCTCTTTCTTTCTTTCAAAGCCAGTGCGCTCAATGAGAAACTTTCACTTGGGGGCCTCTGCCTGTCCAGCCTGTGTGTTCTCCTGACCAGCTGGTTCCTCAGATTGCTGGCGGTTGACCATTCCCACAAACACTGATCTCCATGTTTTCATTGCTGGTGAGGTGGCCATGATAGCGCTGAATGAATTTCTAAAACGTTCAAATGGCCCCTTTCCCCTTGCAGTTGATGGACTCTGGGCAGTTGATGTAGCTTAGGCACATGGAAGGATTTTAGACCACAGCTGCCAGAGATTTTATGCAATACAGAAAAATCTTGGGGTGCTCAGTTGTTTTCTCCAGGTATTATATAATTTCTACACTTAGGCAGAAACTGCTGGGTTGCTTGTCTTCCTTATATTTGGGCCACAGTGCATATTTAACAAAGTAAATCCTGGTGGCATTTCTAACTATGGAAACTATGTACGTTTGTCCAGGGGGAACTAAGGTTGCTATTAATTTGCTGATTTACAGGGTGACTGAATGCAAAAAATGGAAAGAAACAGTTACAAACAGCTTGGGAGAATGTCCTTTATCCTTTCCAGAATATTGCTGATTTTTATTATCATTAACATCTGAGCATTTCGGTGTGAGCATATATTTTAACAAACAGCTTAAATGAAATACATTTTCAAAACTCTCACTTGTAAGTATTGACTAGGTAAATTCTATTCATTGTGGTAGTGGCCAGAAAGCAACCTGGTTATGATCAAGTTGTCCGAATTTCACTGATTTAAAAACACAAATCGAGCCAGGGAAACTTTTCCTCCTGGTTCAGACTCCATCACCCATCACTGGGCCTGCCTGGCTAATTCTTCCAGGTACGGAACCTCAGGAAGGAATCCTGCTTATAGAGTATAACAGGTCCAATTCCATATAGGTTATTTTTCATCTTTACAACCAGATTTATTTCTTGGATAGTTTTTATTACCTTAAATGATTGTCAACTAATCATCAGAGCACAATCCTAAAATTAATCTCATTTTTCTGATAAAAATCCAATGATACATTTACTTTTCCAAATTATATTCTTTTTTGAAGTCTAGATTTAGTTTTTTTTTAAAGCCTTAAAATGTATTCAATTTCAAATAATAGGCAAAGCTAACATTTCATGTGATTGTTTTGTTTTTGATAGATGGCCTTAAAGTAAAAAGGACTTTTTATAGTGAGTTTGCTCTTATATGGACTCACTTATTATTGTGGACATAAACCCATAAAATATAGCTTTTCACTTGATCATCTGCCCTTATATTGTGTTATGAATTGGAAGTGGATACCCCTGTTATTTATTTCAACAAATATTTCCCCTGTGTGGGGAACTGTGCTGTTTTGGGGAAAGGCTCCTGTGACTGGGACCAAGACCCGCCCTGGAGTGGGATACCGGAGGGTGCAGCCGGCTTTGGTGCTCACTCAGCCAGCACACACAGAGCATAGTCTTGGTTGTGTGCTGTGCTGAGCTCTGGAGACGTAGTAGGGACAAGCCAGGTGTGGTCTCTGCTTGGTGCGGGCGTGCTGAGCCTCAGGTCCTAGTGGTTGGAGGTAGCCACCCTCACCCACAGGAAGAGGGGCATCAAAAGAAGGCTTGCCCAAGAAGGATCATTTCAGCTGATTTCTGAAGGGTTATTGTCAAGCTAAGCAGCTCAGGGGTAAGGGGTCCGGTGGGGTGAGGATTTACAGCAGCGGGAGGAGCTGTACCAGGGAGGCAGGGTGGGACCCTAGGTCCATCCCAGAAAGGTGAGAAGCACAGTATTCCCAATGTAGAGAGTGAGGAGAGCCGGGTGACACCAGCCTGGAACCAGTTCAAGTCCCTAAGAAGCACTGTTCAGCTCAGTTCCTAACCAGCGTCTCCCTCAGCTACTTACAGCATGCCTGCCTGAGCAAACCAACGGACAAGCCAAAGGGGAGGCTCAGGCTAGCCCAGGCCACGCTCAGCACCGCAAGGTGTTTGCTGTTAGGCCTCAAAACTAGTTAGTTAGTTCTGTAATCATGTACCGAAGTGAAACCAGTGCTAACGAAATACCAGCCTCTGATTTCTGGCTCAGAACTCCATTGTCTTCAGGCATTTTAAGGGGGTCTAAATCCCAGTGATAGGTTGGGCCCCTCTCTGAGTCTTTTAGCAAACCAGGTGTTTTGAGATTGCTCAAGCTATTATGATGAGGAGGTTGGAACGCCTCCAGATGTGGCACATCTCCTTTCAGGAAGCAGAAAAAGCAATGGACAAAATTGGTTATCAGTGTGTGAAAGTGAGTTTGTGGGAGCATGCACATACACACACACACACACACACACACACACACACACTCCCAAACCTCAGAGCAGTAGAATCATCTTCGAAGTCTTCCCAGGGTTGAGCAATAGGATCACTATCAGTGCTGAGGTTAGTAATTATTTGCATTGGACCAGTTGTTAGAAATGAAAGTTTGGGTTTATTTACAGAGGAAGATAACGATTCTGGGAAAAATCAGTGCGACTTAACATTTTTCAAATGAAAACAGCACACCCAGATCGCAACATCATCTGTAGACATCGTCTTATTTTATTCTCCTCTCGTCCCCAAAGAAAAAATAAATAAAGCACATTCCCTGGATCTTTTGGATTACACGCTAGGTATAATTAATACGTCTGTTGAGCTTCCTGTGTGGGTGGCAGTTCAGAAAAAAATATTGCTTTCAGCACTTTGAACACTGTCAGTTTGATTCAGCTCTCGCACGTCAGCAGCCTTTGCTCCGTGGATGTGATTTGGGTTTTAGTACAACCGTTTTCAGCAGTACTGGCCGTGCCGGGGAGTGACAGTCTTCACAGGTGTCTCTCTTAATTTCTCCAAGCCACACAGGTTGGTGAGATCTGCGGTGTGTAAATGTCTGCGGTATAGAATGCTCTGTCCCACAAACGAGAGCTCTCCAAAGTAGATATATGCACATTCTCTTGTAAAGTTTGTGCTTTCACTTGTTTTCTTTGATCCAAACCAGAGCCCCCTTCACACCGTAGGTTGGGATTTACCAGTGCATTCATTATATTTACCTTTTCTTGATATTTAGCTGAGTGGAGGTCATTGATTCTCTGGAAGCCTGAGCTACAAGATACTACGGCTGTCAGGAACTGGAGAAAAAGTGGCGATAAACTATTAAATAGAGTAAAAATACAGTTCACCTGACAGGTTAAAAAATAATCTGAGAGTAAATGGAGAGGGCACACACTGGACTCGTCAGACCCACTTACATCCCAAAGCTGGCTTCCTATGTGTTATCCGTTTGCCCTTACATGAATCACTCAGCTGGGCTCAGTTTTGGTTTATCCCACCGCAAATGCATAGAGTACATGTTATACAGGTGATGACGCCTAGCGATAACATACATAAATCATTTGACCTGTGCCCGTGTGTTTAGCAACTAGGCACTTAACACATGACAGTTATTGTTATATGGTTGGCTTTCTACTTCCACGGAATGTGCAGACTCAGCCAAAGATGGGGGGCATTTGGGGAAGAAGTCTTATGTGTAATGAACAAGTACAGACATTTTTTCGGCACTGGGGATGGGACCCAGGGCCCTTGCACTGAGCTACGCCTCCCGCCATTTCTTAATTTTTATTTTGAGACAGGGTTGTGTTAAATCACTGAGTTGCCCACAGTGAACTTGGGACCCTCCTGCCTTAGCATACCAAAGTGCTGAGGTTACAGGCGTGAGCCTGCGAGCCTGGTTTACGGACTATTTTCGTATTGTTATTCCCTGCACAATATTGTATGACACCTACTTACACAGTATTTACCTTGTGCTCGGCATTATAATCATCTAGAAGTGATTTAAAGTATGCAGGAGGATACTTTCAATGCATAGTTTCTATACAAATATTACAGCATTTTATATAAGGGAATTGATTGCCTGTGGGTTTGGGGGTGTCAGGGCCCCTGTGATGAATCCACTGGCAATGCTGAGGGATGACTACACTCACTGATCATGACAATGTATATTGCACACATCTCCAATATTTTCACCACCAGAGCTGTCACCTTCAGAGAGTGGATTAATATAAACCTGGTAGCGAAATATTGCCTCAGCCCCAGGCTGGAATTAAAATTAAACAGGAATTGGAGCTGGAGATCTGCTGAAATAAAGGGAAGCAAAATATTAGAGCAATAGATGAAACTTGCAGAAGATGTGTTGCAGCTGCATTCATGGCTGGTGGTTTTGATGGACAGGAACACCGTGGGATGCCTGGAGCGGCCTCACCAGCCCGTGTGCTCTGGTCTGGGTGTTTCCAAGAAGTGGATTGCAGGCGGTCAGCACGGATGCCCCAGAGAGCTTCCCTCTGGTGGGAATGTGAAAGAATAACCTAGAGGGTTTCCTTTCTCTAGGATCCTGTGATTCTCCAGCAGGGATGCATACTTGCTGTGGCATGGGAGAGGAAGACCTCTGAGCCTCTTAGACTGAGTCTGAATGAACTGCCCTCAAGGACATTTGCTTTGTTTCTTCTCAGTTCTGGCGGATTTGGAAGAAGGCAGCAGCAGGTGAGGTGTAATGACTGTGGCGTGGATTCACACGCTGCGCAGAGGTGACCGGGCCCACGAAGCTCGTCAATTCCAACCTTCCATTCTAACAGCTGAGCTCATGTGACCACTCTGAGGGTCAGGAAGCGTAGAAAGCTTGCCCACATTGCTGCTGTAAAGCTCTAACTTTATGTAAATTCCTCAGCGCAGTTGTCTCGCAGTATCCACAGCGGACAGGATCCAGTATCCCTCTTGGACACCAAAATTTGTCCATGATCTGTCATTTATTTAATAAAACAGTGTAGTACTTGCAAAGGACATAGGTAATCCTTCCATATATATTAAATAACCTCTAGATGACTTATAGTGTGCAGTGCAATGGAAATATGGAAATAGATATTTTTTGGGGGGGGAGTAAAAACAAGAAAAACCTGTGTTCTCACAGACATACAGTGGTACCTCGGTTCACAAACTTACTTTGTTCTATGAGTTTGGAAAAGATGGCCACGTGTGTGTTCATGTGGGAAACTTGGCTGTGGTCTCGTTTGTCACCTGATGTAGAGTTCACAAACAAAAACAAAATTTTGCCAAATGCCTCTGTTTGTAAATCACATTATTTGCAAACAAAAGTGTTCACGAACCAAGGTACAACTGTATTTCTTTTAAAAAAAATTAATATGCGTTGGGTTGAACCCATGGATGTGGAACCTACTGATGCAGAGGGCTGATTGTATATTGAGTAAAATCACAAAAGCTTGCCGTCTTTCCAGGGATAAGTCAGATTCCCGGGCCCAGGGTCGGGCTGTGGCCTTGGCAGGCTCACCATGATAATTGTTTCCCTAGAGGCAGTTAGCTGGCATTCCCCAGAGACACACAACCACAGGGCACATGACTTTGGATGATGAATGACGGTTTATTGGACTTCCCAACTACCACACTGCTGTATATGGCCTTTTAGGTATCCAAGACACATTTCTTTTGGGTTTGTCGTAAAGCACATTTTGTGCGAAAGTATTTTATATAGGAAATGCATACCATCAAGAATTTTACGTGTTACTGGGTTCAATGTAATCTTGTTTATTTTGACTTCATCACAGTATTTATTGTGAGTTCTGTTACCCAGCCTAAGGGTTGATGCACCACAACCTGTGAACAAAATCTGGATAGCCACCCCTTTTTGCAAATAAAATTATTAGCTCTTTCTCCTGGTTATGTGTCATCTGCAAATTGGGAAAACATTTCTTCTATGCTCCCAAATGTGTTGTTTATAAAAGTACTGGGCAAAACAGGGCTAAAGAAAAAATATCAACCGTTGTAGACATAGCCAACACTGCAGCAGAAAGCACCAGCAGCCGCAGGTATCATGCTTTCACTGTGCCAATGGGATTGTTTTCTTGAGAAAGTTGAACATAATTAAAGCTATCAATGACATTTCAAATAAAAATTACCTGTGCTGGAAAGGTAGGCTTCGAAGCATTTGGCTGTCAGTTACAGTGAGAGACTGAACCTAGAGCAAGCACAGCAGCAGGTAGAAGGAAGCCGGGGCCAGGCGAGGTGGCATCAGCCAGAGGCCTTTCACGACCGTGCTGTGGCACCAAGGGGGAATAAGCCTGAGCCAGCGGCTGATCTGAAGGGTTGGACGGACATGTCAAGGGCCTCTTACTGTTCCTCTGTGGAATTCCTTAACCTTTCCCTCTCTCCTGAAGGCCTCAAGCGCAGGAGAGCTAGCTTAACATAAGGACACCAACAGATTCCCGAGATCAAAGGCATGTCCACAACTTGGATCAGTAGAAAGAAGTGGAAATTCCTCTACCTCTCCTTTCTGGACTGTCTTTGCTCGAAGTTTCAGTAGTTGCTTTGCATTATATGAGATTACCAAAATTATAAAGCTGAGACTGCAGTGAATGAGTGAATATTTTCCCCTTAATGGATTGTACTATGTATCCTTCAGGTTAGTTACAAAGGGAGAAAAGAACAGTCAGGGAAGTGCGTAATAACTGAGATTATTTATCGAAAGTTGTTGAAAGCATTTTTAGAGTTGAATCTGCTAAGCGACGGAGTCTGAATTCAGACACAAGAACAGTGCTTCCCCAGTTTTTCCCACAAAGATGTTTTGAGGTGTTAAGTAACAGTCAGTGGTGCTTGGGTTCCCTGCAGAAGCCCGGACTCGCTGCCCAGGCTATGGTCCCCATGTGACCTTTGATCTGACTGAAAGCTGCCCCGAGGACACTGCGTGCATCCAAGCAAAAGAGGACCCTGAAAGTTCTTGTGAGTCACCAGTGTATAAACTTGAGTTGCCGGCTTTGGTCTTCAAACAGAGGAGCTCATGGCAAAAGATGACTTGCCTGAGTTCGTAGGTTTCACAAGCCTGAACCATTTCTCGTACAGAGCGTTGGGGGAGACAGGCCATGTGGAATGTGAGGAGAGGTAATGTCTGATTTGAAATAGCTTCACCTCTGAACAGTCACACCTGATGAGGTAGGTGACTTTGGGCCTTGAGGAGAAGCTGCCTGTATGCAGGAAGACATGCAGGACGCAAAGGCCAATCTGAGTGCCCCACCCACACCGGGTCTGTTTCCTAATCTGGAAAAAGTGACTCATAACCCTGACCTGCTTTGTGGGGATGTCAGAAAGATCAAGTGAGATAATGAATATAGCACCATCTGAGGGACTTTGAATTATAGGCAAATTAAATCATATTGTTTCTTTCCTTTAGGAAGGGAATTAAATGAATATATGAATGGTTTTCATTTTTTTTTTTTTTTTTTTTTGGTTTTTCTCCGGTACAGGGAACCGAACTCACGACCTTGCACTTGCCAGGCAGGCGCTTTGCCGCTGAGCTAAATCCCCAGCCCCAGTTTTCATTTTTCTTGAATGGTTCAAATTGGGGCTTGAGATCCCCCCACCATAAAAATATCAGTTTTATAAACATCTCTGATACCTAAAAATTTCAAGGTGCTTGGGTTTTTAGAGATTGACAAATTCTATTTCGTCCAAAATACCCAAAAGATCTTTCATCTTTCGGCACACCTAGTCACAGTGACACACCTCCGGGACGCTTGTGCAACAACCAGGCATCTCAAGGCACACAGGTCAGCTTTCAAGTAGAATAGTTGACTTCCTGTACTTCGTGCTTAGGGTCTGTACTTTGTCCCCAGCCGTACAGTGCTTAGTGGTAAGTTCATGCCCTACAAAAATCAGGCCATGAAAAATCCAGTGGTCGCTCAGCAGATGTGTGTCCACTACTATATAATGTTACATGCACTCTGTTAGGGCCTTTCTCTCACTGAAGGTCTGAGGTAGAGACAGGCATTCTGTATGTAGTGACTTGTGGGGTGAATGTTATAAAGAGAAGTACACGGCTCAGGGTATATCCAGAAAGTACTCTGTATTACTTCCATGTCCCATATAGTGTTATTGCACTCATCAGTCATAAAGCACGATTTAATTTCTATCTTCTCATAGCACCGAGATTCTTACAAGAAAGAGCAAGAATTTGGTGCTGTTCAGGAAAAGGGAGTAACCAGACACCATTTAGCTCCTTCGTAATTGTTGCTCATCATTTGTCTTCTTAAAAAAATCGGCTGAAACTGGGTGCTATTTTATTTTAGTCATCTCCAGCCATCACTGACTGTGTTGAAACAAAGCCAGAGCGAACATTGATACCAGGTGCCTGTCCTAGCAGAATCCAATATCACACCTGCAGATAGAGTATAAGATTACATCACGTATCGTGCCTGAGCACCACAAATGACTCTATACTTCATCTCAAATAACATTATAATTTACACTTGGAGACTTCAGACTCTGTAGCCTTGGCCAAATGAAAGTTTTTGCAGCCAAACACATCAAATGCAATATATTTCACTGTGCCAATGGGATTGTTTTCTTGAGAAAGTTGAACATAATTAAATCTATCAATGACATTTCAAATAAAAATTACCTGTGCTGGAAAGGTAGGCTTCGAAGCATTTGGCTGTCAGTTACAAAGATGCCATGGAGTTTTGTGCTGGAAACCAAAGAAAAATGAAAGGACTTCAGTGTGCTATGTGAATTAAATAAGAGTCACAGATGAAAGCAGCAACAATGAGGTCTTTTGTTTTACAAAAATGTCGTAGCTACAAAGGTATAAATTTAAAGTTGGAGGATCACTTCAGGCGAATACGAAAACCCTTCCCAAATCAAACATTTTCCCAACCCAGGACACAAACTACAGTAATCTTCTCTGAACTTTTGGAAATATTGTGTGGATATTTCAACACCTACTCACCCCATACATTCTAATTTTCACCTTTGCACTTTGGTGCTTGACAGGCTTCTCTTAGAAGGCGGTCAGCGTCACCTGCTCACACTTTGATCCATGGATTGGAAAGCAGCTGCGCTTTGTTCAGAAAACCATTGCAAATGTTTACGTGAATAGAGGAAGGGAAGAATGTCCTCATTCCCTTTCTTCCACGCTAACTTCTTCAAAGGCTTGGAGGAGCTTTCCGTCTGGCTATTGGGTTTCTTTGACTTTCAGATCCGTTGTATGGTTCTCATATTCTCTAGGGAACTGCCCTGGCATTGTGAGTCTTTCAGACAAGTTTATTTTCTGTTTAAAACTGGCAGCCAATAGTGTCTGTGGTCTTGGGTCTGATTGGATGGATGCCAGAGAAATCTTCATCACCCTAACAAAAAGAACTCCCTCTTAACTCTGCCTTAACATTCTAGTATTTCCATGAGGTCTAGAATCTCATAGTCTCAAAATTCTTATGCACTGTTACACGGCTCCTGAGGATGGAGGACATAGGAAGACAGATGTTCTTTGAAATCTATAGATTTTGTCTGGAGGGCCTCATAACAATTCGAAGGGTCCTGGATTCTTTGGAGGGAGTTTGCACTGGTAGGACGTTGAAAACAGCTACAGGAGAATTGTAAAGGCACCAAATGGAATCTTGGTTTATACCACTCTTCTGTGTTCTCTGACCACAAGCTTCTGGGGAAATTGTTTTATTATATGACTACGTATAAGTTGGGTAATAGGGAGGAATGTATGTCATGTGCTGTGTACAGAATGATACCCTCCTCCTCAGCAGCACCTGCAGATCAGTTTTTAGTTGAACAGTGATTTTCTATAAGAATACTTTCATTGATCCCACCTCAGAGAACGATATATAGTGGGAAGCTTTTCTGGGATAACAACAATTCCCATGTCTCCATGGTTTCCAGGGGTGCTTATTTTTTGACTTTTCATGTTGGTGACTGTCGTTGGTGATGGCTGCTGCGACTTCACTTGGACTTCTTGGGTCTGTTCTGAGTATCGTCGCATCCTTTCACCTAGACTGAAGGAGCAGTACCTACTTGGAACAAGGCATCCTTGTTGAAGAGAAAAGGAAGGACATCTAGGGGAAATATACAATCCTTTTGCACAAAACCACTGTTCTCATTCTGTTAGTTCGAAAAAGCCATGTGGCCAAGCCCTGCAGTGGCAGGTGGAGTTGTAGTCTTCCTACAGGAAGACCTTGAGGGTCACAGAAGGACAGGTAGAATGCATGCCATCTTACAGAAGAGGATGAGTAATTAGGAACAGTGACACAATCTGTCACAGCACGTTGTGTTTACATGTCTTCTCACCCACTTTTATAGCTATCCCAAGTAAGTTCAGCTTTAGACACTCAAAAGTGTTGTGTACATCTAACCAAATAGTCTCTGGGTGTTCTTAGATGCTTATTTATTCCTTTTCTTCTAGTCTCTACATGGAGTGCTAATTAATATCTCCCAGTGTGTCATCTTTACCTTTTTTACTCTCAACTTAGCTTAATGAAGGACTAAACTGCACTGAAGGAAATAGGTCTTCCTATCCTGCATTTAAAAGATTTTTCTCTCGAGTTTAGATTTTACTTAGCTATTGAGTTTATGATCACGATATGTTTGTATTTTCTTCAACGTAAGCTTCACACAGTTAAGGAATGAAATGCCAAAATTTTTCTCACAATTATGCACAAGCAGTGACAGTAATTTCCATGTGGCATTACCCCAAAGGATGTCTGAGTGTTCAGCTCCTCTGGTAATCAGTTGTCTAACACTCTAGGCCATTAGGTCATTAAAGAGTTCTTGGCACTCTACTTAAAGGCTTTTGGGTGTTAATCCTATTTTCCTGGTCATATTCCAACCAGGGTAATGACTTTCTGACTTCTTAAATTACTCCTGCGATTTTTGGTCAAACAGGATGTGCTTGCTTTCTGCCCCATGTGGTTTCACTAAGTGGCTTGCTTGTTAGAGATGTGCCTTTTAGGTTGTAAATGAAATGAGGATAATTTAAAAGCATTGCTAAAAACTTCTGAGCTGTAACTGCGTGGTGAACTCGGTCACGAACCTACATGTGGTGCCTCACCTGGTGCACCGGATGGAGACCTCAGCGGCGACCCAGCGCAAGTTCCTTCCTTCTCACAATTTCCCCGGATGTGCTGTCCCTGGGTGAGCTGAGGCTCACAGGACACCCAACGAGCAGACCGTTCCCAGGGCCCCGCTGGCTGCGCTATTAGTGACGTGGTGGCGTGCAGCCCACAGGCAGTCTCCCCTGCGCGATCAGGGAGATTTCACTTAGTCTCTCGGAGGACCGCTTCAGTAAGGGATTATGAAAAAATGGTTAATAGACACTGCTCAACAGACACTGCTTAAAAAATCTTTTTTATTTTTACTTTTTCATTAATAGGATATGATGTGACTTATACAAAAATATAAACAAATAATTGCTGAATGATTGGTTAATTGCTATGTATGTTTTGATTTCCCAGGGGTCACATTGGTTTCTAACCAATAAAGTCCATTTAATTAGGTTTTGCCCTGTTGATTCTAGAAAGACTTCTGCCTCCCAAACGGAATGTATCAAGTAATCTCCAGTTCACTGTCTTAGTTGTCCATTTTAGCTCAAAGATGTAAAGAGCTGGAGCCAGGTGTGGTGGTGCATCCCTGTAACCCCAGCACTCAGGAGGCTGAGGCCAGAGGATTGCTGTGAGTTCAAGGCCAGCCTGGGCTACATAGTGAGTTCAAGCCCAGCCAGAACTACATAGCGAATCCCTGTCTTAAAAAAGTAAGATGTAAACAGCTAATAATCAGAGTTATTGATCCTTTTGAGTTTACTATTAAATCATCAGCTTCTTCCCGGTAGAGATAGGTTCTTTTCTTATTTCTAACCTCAGGGCTGAGGGTGGTGACAGACACATCGTAGATAGTCAGTATGGAAAGAAGGAAGCAAGGAAATGAGAAGGGGCGAGAGAGAGAAGGTGGAAGGGAGGGAGAAGGGAAGGAAGGAAAGGAAGAAAGGACAAAGAAAACAAGGGAGGAGGATGTGTGCTACCATCTCAACGTAGACACAATTCACCCCTCACACAGCAAGCCGGTGTTTGCTTCTTCTTGAAGATCTTGGGGTGTGGTTATTTGTAAGTGTGTGCATTCTGTGCTTAGTTGCGATTAGCTGTATCTATTAAACACACTTACTAGTTTTATTCATTAGCTGCTGTAGTCCAAACATTGCCTTCTCTACCTGTGTGTCTCTCCCTTCCAGTTGGAGATCAGCTGTTCACTTCAGTGAGAGTACTGGTGGAGCTTTGTACAGCTTTAGAAGGCAACTGAAGTCCATTGCTATGAAATAAGAATAACATAACAGAGAATAGTACTGTGAAAACAGTACTCTCAAAAAAGACTACAGGTCTTCAAACAAGTCGTTGCTTCTGATAGAAGCCCTCAACATTCAATTGATTACTCCATGCAGCAAATTAAATCAGTTCTTAAGCAACCACTATATTATTACCATTTATTACCCATCTATTTTGAAGTAGAAAATAAGGTCCAAAAAACAAAGAAAGAAAAGAAAATAGGGTCAAAGGTCAAATATGCTGTTCTTGCTGAGGTTTTATTGTTTTTAAAGCTGAAGAGAATACTTAAAATTTTCTTTAGTAGAATAGTTTTTTTTTTTCTTTCTGGTACCCGGAGTCGAACTCACAACCTGGCACTTGCCAGGCAGATGCTCTGCCGCTGAGCTAAATCCCTAGCCCCTCTTTAGTAGAATAGTAAAGTGTAGCGGTGGGAATGTAGTTCACTGGTAGAGTCCTTACCTAGCATGTGCAATGTCCTGGGTTCAATCCCAGGAAAAGAATTCATGGCTCAACACATGCATGAATTAATCAACAAGGTACAGTCAATCATTGTACCTTACAAGGATATACATATATTGAATATCAATAAAATAAATTAAAATTTGCAAATGAAAACATGTAAACATTTTCATAGTCATTTTTGCTAGAGGGGTCCAGGTGGGCAGTGGACAAAGAGGCTGACAGCTCCTTTCCCTGCATGCACATCAGCAGGTGCTCCAGCTGTGTCTTGAGGAAAATCATGGCCTCCCTACACCTCTGGAGCCCTCTGCTGGGGATCTCACTTCCCCCATGGAAGGGGCTGGCCTGCCTTTCATGTATGAATCCTTGCTGGGCGCCTCCTGAAAAGAGAAAGTATAATCATGGCCTAAACAGAAGACATAGGCTTGAGACGCCCTTTTCCCATGAGACCAGTGCCTTCTCAGTGTGACCAAGAACATGGCTTGTCTGGTGCAGATGCTTCTCGGGGAAGAAAACGCCAAATGGCTGACAGGGACATACATATTTAAAGCTTCGTGTGGAAAGATGATTAGCATGGATGAGAGCATGACGTATATTTGAGTTCTCTTAAGGAAACGTTTCTAAGCCCTCTAAACCTCTCCTTCCCAGACTATTACCAGGCTGACAAAATGGAGGCTGCCATTTTTCAAATATTTGATTCTTCCCTATCTAAATGCTTCTCCTGATTTTCCTCTTCTGCTGGGGTGGAATGGTGGGAGGTGGAATCCATCTTTAGCCAAGGAAGAATAGCCTGGTAGAGTGAGACCGTGCCGAGGAGTAAGGGTGAGATCGTTTGGGTTCTATGCAGTCTGCAGTAATCCCTGAGGAGAGGATGGATAAAAAAGGAAACTAAGGTGGGGCGATGGTATTAAGGACCCGGATTCGTACAACCTGGCACTATCAGTTTCCATTTCTGCATTCTGGGTTTCCACCATATTATTTAAGCCATTTTGTTTTGGAGATCTTTGTTACAGCAGCCTAACTTGGTAGCAGTGGGCTTATATATTATTAAGCTTAATCACGAGACATTTAAAACAACTACAAGTCATTGTATGAGAAATTGCCAACCCACTTTCATTGTATTAGAAAAAAGGCTCTTTGTTAACCTAAAACTCATAATTTTACTCCTTTCTTCCCTAATTTCCCTTTTCTCTGGGGTTGATCTTATTGCCCTTTACCTGGTCTCCCCTTACTATGTCTGTCTATGCATAAACATAGTTGCTTCTCTTCATTTTCTATTATGCATCTTGGAACATTTGATAAGATTTTGGATAATGGAAGCAGAAATTTACATAATGAATAATATAAAGCTTGCCACTAGACATGATGCTTCTCAAGCCCAGTCTGAGGGCTCTCAATCTTCCTCTCTGTTACAGAAACCCCCTCACTTCATCCCCCACCCTGGAGCACCCCAAGACATAATCGGAGTGGGAAGAGTTGGGATTCAGAGAGGTTGAGATCACTGTCCAGGCGAAAGCTACAGTAAAGATTCCACTTGAACACTTGGCTTCTCTTCCTAGGAGGAGCAGCAAAGATAATG